GGCATGTGGTGCTGGGGGATTGAACCGCGGTCCCTGTGCTTTGCTTAGCTTGTTCTAAGTAGGTGCTTTAGACCACTGAGCCATCTCACCAGCACCCCCCCATAATGTCTTAAATGGGATTTTTTTTTCTCCCTCTATGTCCTAGAGTAAGATCAGATATTACATTTATTGCTCCCATAGCATCTTTTAATCTGGGATATGTCCACAGCTTTTGGTTTTTTTATACTATTGACATTTTGAAGAGCATGATTCATCTTCTCCTTTTCACTCTGGAATTCTCAATCCATCCACCCCCTCACTTTCTCCTACCTATCCCACACTAGTAACTAAACCAGAGTGCTCTACCATTAACCTCTACAGCCTTTTTATAGCTTCTGAGACATGCTGTCCAGGTTGATCTTGAATTTGTGATCCTCCTGTCTCAGCCTCCTGAGTGCTGAGATTACAGGCATGTGCCAATGTGTTCAAGATTGAAGATACTCAGTCAAATACTATTTCCGTAAGTTATATGAATGAATTTGTCTTTTTTTTCCCCCCTTGGCAATATATTTTGAAGACAAGTAAAATAACTGCATTAACTTGAAAGTACAAAGAAATTAAATTAGTAACAAATCTGAAACTAACTTCTCCTGTGCAGCCATAATAAGGAGTCCCCAGCATGAACACCACACTTCCAGGAGGAAACAAATCATCCAATGTTTTGATAATGGAGAATCGAGAGTCGAAAGCTCGGATGTCCTATGTAAAATGAAAGATAAAAATGAAATCTGTAAAAACTTGTATAAATTGTACATCATGCTTTTTTCTCTTGTGATTATGGCTATGCTGTTTGAATGTCAAATGTAAAAATTTCTAAATAACAAAATTAGAATCTATACTTTTCTAGATCCTTCACATATTCACTACACCATTTTCTGTGGCAGAGACTATTATAAGTTTTGTGTTACAGATGAAGAAAAGAAAGGACACAGTATAGAGGGTGAATCTTTTCCAAGATTATACCGCAAAGACAGCTCAGATAATCTGCACTTTTTCTCTGTATGTGATATTGGAGCTGAATCCATGATGTCTATACTGAGACCTTTTGTATTTTTAGTTTTTATTTTATTTTTTTTCTACAGTTTTATTGATAA